AAAAAAAAAAAAAAAAAAAAAAAAAGGCATTGTATACAGTTCGATGACGGCCATCATCTACTTAAAATTTTTGTGAGTATTCATATGCTAAACTACCTTTGCACTTTTAATTCACAGATTGAACTATTTATGTTCTCAACACATCATAACCAAATGCACACGATCAGCTAAAAATTAATTGCCATTTGGACTTCACATCGTTTCTAACTAAAAAAAAAACAGCTGCAACCAATGGACTTGAAGAAAGCAATATTCTAAAAGGCATATAGGGATCACTGAAATATAATATCTTCAGACACTTGGTGAAAATAGTTCATGTTTTCCTCTTTAACAGGGATATTAAACTAGTTTACCTTGTAAAGTTCCTCATCGAATTGAGCCAACTGAGCACATTTCGCCATAATATCTTTCCTCATGAAAAAAGGGGTCTGCAAAGCAGTAAAGCCCCTCTTCTCCAAAAAATCAAGAGCCAAGTTGATCAGAGCTTGATTGAGTCGTACTCCATCTCCTTTGAGATAGAAACCTCTGCCTCCCGCTACATTTGCACCTAAAAACATTCACAAACATTGTATTGGCAAGCTAGTTATTATCAAAATTCAATACAACTGACAAAGTAAGTGCAATAACGATAAATATCAGAAATTCTAGAAATAGTAGTTAAGGAAGTTTGCTGCTCTCCAAAAACACTACCAATTCTTGCGCTCCAGTTAGCATCCCCTCACCCACATAGAAAATTGACATTCAAGAGCTAATATAGCCCTACTAAATCACCAGAAAAACAGAATTGTCGTATAGTAAATTAAATCAGCAATAATAACTTCAGGTAACAAGAAAATCATAACTAGCATAAAAGCCAAGACAGATGTTTGATGTTTCCAAGAACTCCAAGTCTTATTGGTAATACAACGCACATATATGTTTCCATTTTGTGGATGCCATGACAGTACAAAGTGGTATTTGACTGAGATGATCCTAATTTCCTTAAAAAAACAATTTATACTTACATACTGAAATAGAATGCCCAAAATAACATGGAATGTGCAACAATGTGACTCAAGTAGTCATGATCTCTAACATAAAACTCATAGGCCAACTCAAGGAACCAGCCTAAAACAGTCATAAATTATTCAATTAATCATGCTTGAGAAAGTGAACACCTTTCTTTAAATCTGCAATTCCAAGAAGCTCAACAAGCTCCACATGATTCTTAAGCTTTGGTTCAGATCGCTTCTCTCCCCATGACCTAATAATGGCATTATTATCCTGCAAAACATCTCATCAGTCATTGATAAACTTACTAGTCACAAGAGAACAGGAGATCCATATACCAAACACACACCTCATTATTGTCAACAGGGACCGAATCATGCACCAAGTTTCCAATAACAGCCAATTTAGTCTGAACAGCAGCTAGGGCCTCCTGGACCTCTGCCTCCTTCTTTGCAGTCAATTCTTTGTTCTCCTCGGTAGAGGCAATCATTGTACTTGCATCTTCTTTCGCCTGAAACCATGAATGAATGAAGTCCACAATTTAACACATAAAGAGAGACATTTGCAGATCAGCTTGCTCAATATTCTCATCTGTAACCAAATGAAGTAAGACCCACTTTTGACAATCTAAAATGCTGTCAGAGGTAAATGTTCTATATGTAAAATGCTAAAAAGCTAGAGCTTTTGTCACATTTCAACTTCTGTTTTTCATCCAACTCTATAACAGGCATACACCACATAAGAAAGTGATAAGTACAACCTACACTGCCACACAATACAAACCAATAGAAAGGAGCAAAATACTTTAAAAATGTTTCACACAGTCCACAGCCTTCTTATTTTATCCACATTTTAGGCACAGGAGAAAATTCACACCATAGACGATTCTAAGTGCATTTTATTCGACACATCTGAATCGATATTTTCATTCAAAATATACATACTAACTGATCGTCAAAAGCAATAATAGCACTCACAATTTTGAGGCGGGCAATCTCTTTGCTTAGCCTGTTCCTATCTGTCCTCAACCCATCCAACTCGAATTGCCCTACAGCAATATCACCACTCACAATTGGTAAATTCCTCAAAATGATTTAGAACAAAAAAAAAAAGAGTGAAAAATGGAAACTTTAGAGTGTCAGTGGTCGAGAATAGTTACGCTGCCGCCAAACTTTGTCGAGCTCGATGACCTCATCCACAAGATCCACATTAGCAAAACGACGCCGCTGGGACTCCCTAATTTTCTCAGGGTTGCCGCCCTTCTCTTCACGAAAGAGATTGATGTCCAACATACTAACACTCAGTCGTCGTAATCAGCTGCTCCCTTTACCCGCCGCAGCTTTCAGCTTCCGATGCTCGGGCTCTTCAAAACAGGAAAAGTGTTTTGGTGGGTCGCGGCTGCACGTGCTGATACGCGGCTGCTTCTCACCGTGAAGAGAAGACGAAGAATCCAAAAAATGCCGAATTTGATGAAGAACCCTGGGGGGTAGAAATTAGGGTTTAAAAACAAGCAAATACATGAAACGGCACATTTTTCTTTTCGGCCCCAATGTATACATATTATTCAGATTTGCTAGAATTCATCGAATGGCTCGGCTTGTGAGTCATCCGCAAATAAAATATGAACGCGTGTCCTACAATAAATACATTTTGAACCGGTATCAATATGAAAATCATCCGATGAGTCCATAAAATTTTTTCATTATTCTTTTACAGTCTGTCTCATCAAATTCTTCTTTTTATTTTTTTTATTTCAAAACTCACAAAATTATATATGATATAATAAAATTAACAATTATGCGAGAATTTGTCGTACATATATCAATGCATATCTAAATTTGATGTACAGTTAGTAATTATGCGAAACACATTTGCCTATTTGTTAATCATATATCCGCATAATTCTTAATATCTGAAATTAATTTCCATATAAAGTAATCACATGTCCAAATTGATAGATGCATATTTATCATTATGCGACATTTTCTTGCATATTTATTTACTCGCATATCCAAATCGGTCGCATAGTTAACAAGTATGTGAAACACTTACACATATTATTTAAATGCATATCCAAATACATCGCATAGACGCATCTATAACGCTGTATAATTGACGATTATGTGTAACATTCACATATTCAATACTCGCATAATTTATAATTATCCAAATCAAATTATGCGAAAATTATTTCGCATATATAGTTACCGCATATCTAAATTGATCGCCCCATATTTATTATTATGCGAAATGTGTTCGCATTGTTTATGACTCGTATGTCCAAATCGGACGCATAGTTAATAAATATGCGAATTGTTTATATTTTGTAACCGCATATCTTAATTCACCGCATAATTTAACATATCGCGAAAGTATCGCATATTTAGATATCACATATTCAAATCGAATGTCACATATTTTATGATTATGCGACGTTTTTTCGCATAATTTACGAGTCTCACATTCAAATATATAACACCTTATAATTAATGATTATGCATAATATATTAGCATATTCACGAATCGCATATTCAAATTGAAAGGTGCATAATTCTCGACTATATATCCGCCTCTTTCTTTGTCAATCCATATCACGAATCGCATATCTGCCGAAAATATTTTGCATATTATTCGAATAGTTACTTATCGATATGCGAACATATTCTGCATATTATTGGAATAGTTACACATCGCATTGATCTGACTTCTTTTTTCACATAAATTAGACACGCAAGATCAGGGGCGGACCCACATAGGGGCCCGCAGGGGCACGTGCCCCTGTGGTATGAGAACTGTCAGTATATATTATATGTATGTAATATATATATTTTGTCTTAAGTTTTCTTGTGATGTAGTACGTAATATATATTTTAATTGTGTTGTCATGTGGACCCAATAGTACAACAAGCCAAATTATTTTATTTTTGTCAGGCCATATGTCATCTTATATTCTGTTCACATTTATCTTTTTTTACCCCCTCCAGCCCAACTATAAAATTTGGATGCAATTAGTAAAAAATAAATAAATAAATAAAATCCTTCAATACTCAATAGGTATAGGTTTAAACTTCTACTTCCTTAGTGGCTATCAATTTTTATTTCAAAAAGTATGTTTTATTTAATTGTTTTCTAATTTTTATAACCCAACATTTGTATTTGAGAATTTTTAAAATTGATGTAATTTTTAATTTAGAGCTTTCATGATTTTAATAAATAATGTCGTAAATGTTATTTCTTATTTGTAGCGTATTTTTTTAGAAAACACATAGAGAACAATTGTAATGTAACGTTTGTTGTTTTTTTTGTTATTTTATAAATTATATTGTGTCCCCGTACTTTTAACATTCTGCGTCCGCCCCTACGTAAGATGTGTTTTTTTTTCAAAAACCATACAATCATATAGATATATTCTTCTGCTTCTTGTTTGCATTTTCTACCATTTGATTCTTCTTATTCCAACCTACATTTACTACAATTTCTTCTTCTTCTTCTTCATGTCTGCATTCTACTGCATTTCTTTTTGTTCAAGCTTAAAGGCTCCATATCTAATGTATTTTTTCAAACTTACTTGGCTCTTAATTTTCTTTCTTTTAAAAATTACACTTCAATGGCTAACAATCGTGTTAGAGTATACGTGCACTATAACGATGCGTTTTCGAAACCAGCTCCCATTTACAGCCAACTCAAGCGGATATATATTACGGAAAACCAGCTGGATAATGATGGAGATCTACCAAAATTTGTTTATTCTGAGAATTAGCATAACATCACATGCTGCCCAACTGTAATTTACTATATTTATTATCCATTCATTTTCAATCATCTTTATTTATAAAGCTACTCCTTTTATATGGACCACCTTCTCAACTTCATTTGTTTAATAAAAACAAATGTTATACCCCCTGCATAAGATGGAAATGCTTGAAGAAAAAGTTCAATCCATATAATTTGTCTTTCTAAAAACCAAAACGGAACGAATAAATAAACTAAAATGTGCACCCGGAAAGATAATGTCCCCACTAGGGAAGTGAAGTAGTGAACAAACTTTATTGAGCTCCAATTGTTGAGATTGGACTTGAACTTTATTTGTTAGTTAATTAAACGAGTGAGTAAATGAGCTTAAGTTTGGTAGTTTATCAACATTAACGAGTCGGCTCCAACTTTAATGAGTCGAATTTATATCTTAACAAATCGACTGATAGAATATTACATTAAAGAAATTATTTTCGAGTCTTAACAAGCTAGTCGCAACTCGTTAACTAAACGAAGTATAAATAGGTTCGAACTCGACTTGATTATCGAATGAATTAAACCGCACTCAAGTTTTAACGAGTCGAGATGAATTGAAGTCACGAATCGCATACGTCGTTGAACCAATGTGTCAGCTGGAAATGGATCATATTGGACTTGTTGAGCTTTCCTAAAATCCGTGCCTTTTCACCTTCAATATACGCTCAAGCTCTAGGATCTTTTATGGAGCAGACATCTTGAAACATAATGTTGTTTTATTCCTTCATTTTTTTTTAAGCGTGATAATTATTTTCATCTCCATTGGGTGTTTTATTTGATTATTTCTCCTTTTGAGCTCCTCAAGAAGTTTATTGCTTGCTTCATGCATGGTTTTGATGATCCATTATGAATCATCATTTATCTTCCTTTTCAGTATGGTTTTTTTCACCGCAATAGGTCTTTTAGATGGAGAACCACCAACAAATTGGTCGAGTCGTCAAGTTTAGAAAAAAATGAAAAATAAATCTAGAAATGCTTGTCGGGTAAAATCTGGAGTTGGATTTTCTGAGTTCGAAGAGTGACAATGACCAAATAGTTTTGTCTTACTCCTTTTAGCACTATCTTTAGATTTTTCAGTGTTTTTAATAATATCCTAATCGTGATCTTATTTCCATTCAAATTTGAATTTGAAATCTTGTGTGAGCAACACTTTTGCTTTGAGCATCTACAAGTTGTTATAAATAATTAATCATAGCTAACATAAATAATATATTTGATAAGTAAAAAATATTGTAATATTTTAATATTCATTGTAACTTCGTTTGATGTACCACTCTAATACATATCTTCTACTGTTTTATTCATACATGAAGTCTCTTGGTTGCTTTCTTGATTGTTTGAATTTGCTAGCATAGATCTCTTGGTACAAACCTCCCAAAATGCTCAATCCATTGAATGTTTCTTCTATAAGGGAGCGAAAACGATCAGATGATCGTTGTACCCCAACAATTGGGTCATGAGAAATTTCCATATACACCCGACATAAAAGAATATCTTTATCGTCGTTATATATAAGATGATGAATGGATTGACATTCTTACAAGAAGTTAGAAGTCATAAAGGTTTAGTGTATAGAATGAAAATGTTGGGATGTAGCCACTACAATACCATGTCTTCTTTTATAGTGAAAGACTCTCTCACCTCTTCATGCATTGATCTGAAATGACCACTCTTTGCAATAGTTCTCACACTTCTTAATGTTCTGATCTGAAAAGACCTCTCGCTACAAATGATCTCACGTCTCTCAATGCTTTGACGGGAAAATGACAGCTCTCCTACAAAGGTCCTCAAAATTTTCTAATGTTCTAATAGAAAATGACCACTCTCTGCAATGGTTCCCACACCTTTCAAATGCAATACTATAAGAACATAACATATTTTCATTATCACACACTTCAATATCTTCAAACATCTTATCATATTTCTCTCATACCACATTTCTAATCTCTTCAATGAGTCTTAATTTTGACAATTTGTCATCTTCCTCATATGGTGATGATGGTAAAAATATTCTAATTATTAATGCTCTTCGTAAAGAACAAGAAGTGATAACTCATGTTATCGCTAATAACAACATGAGCATCACATCCTCTCCAGCAACAAAACCCCCAAGCCTCTCATGGAGGTTCTGTTCCTAGGAATATTTTTATCAATCGTGATCGAGAGGATGCTGATATAGGTTGTACAATGACTATTGTCAGTAAATCATTATATAACGAGACTATGTTTCATAGAAGTTATTGAATGTCTTGCTCGTTGATCGTTTGAACTGCCGATGTAATGAAAGACCATGATCATTACTTCCAACAATGAGTGGATTGAGCTGACAGACTTAAATTATCTCCAATTAAAGAAAATGAGTGTTGTCTTTCGTATGTTGGCATATGGTGTTCCAACAGATGCTACAAATGCGTATGTCAAAATTGGAGTTTAACCTATTACAATTGAAAAAGTATGAAAATATTTTTAGCAAGTGATGTCTGATGAGGCCCACATCGGATGA